AGGTTAGTGTTGGGTTGTTAGGTTAGGTTAGTATTTGAGGAAAAGTATATTAGTTTGGATACTTTTCATTCGCCTCTTCCTCCTCCTCATCTCACTCTTCATTGCCTCTCCTAATCCTTCCATTCACTTCATTCGTCCTCTTCCTCTTCCTCCTCTTCTCCTAATCCTCCCATTCGCCTCATTCATATACAATCTTCATTATCCTGTGATCACCATTCACTCCACGAGCACCCACACATTTGTTGATTTTTTCTCTCTCCTCTCTCTCTCTCTCTCTCTCTCTCTCTCTCTACACGTGTCTCTCAGATGTCTCTCCAGATTCATTATAGCAGCCATCAGGTGAGATAGTCTCCGGGCGGGTCGTGATAGCGTCTTCCGGCCTCATTTGCATATCACTGTCTTTAGTAGTGGTGGTAGTTACCTTTGTCTTATATTTTGTATGGTAATGTGTGTGTGTGTGTGTGTGTGTGTATGTATATGTATGTATGTATGTATGTATTTGTGTTTGTATTTGATGGTGTGTGTATGTTTGTATTTGTTGGTGTGTGTATGTATTTATGTATGTGTGTGTACGTATGTCGCTGGATTCCCTTACGACCTCTTTTTTTCTTCCCAGGATGGTAAAGGTCAATGTCCTTGATCGTCCTGGAGAGAAAATATCTCGAGTTTATCTCCCAGGATGGTAGAGGTCATGGCCTTGATCGTCCTGGAGATAAATAAGAGGATTATCTTTTATCTCGGGCTGGTCACAATAGTAGGTCAGATATCATTTCGTTTCGTTGTCTTTGGTTTCATTATTACGTATGTGTTTGTTTGTTATTTTCTTAGTGTTCGAAAAGTTTCTAATTTATAACGCATTAAATAATCGGTGTATTTCTGTATTAACCTAACCTAACCTACACAACAGACACACAATGGCATTTTTTATCAATATCTTGTGGGATATTCGTGTATTGCGGGAGAGAGAGTGAGAGAGAAGGGGAAAAGAGACGGAAAGCAGAGATAGAAAGAGAGGGAGAGAATAAATATTTAGAGAAAGGGAGGGAGATTCTGGTACACACAGAAATGGGTAGACAAACACAGGGGAGAGAGAGAGAGAGAGAGAGAGAGAGAGAGAGAGATATTGAAGGTTATGATTTACTCCTCTGGTAGTTATTGCATCAAGTGCATTTTATAATTCTCGATAATGCACAGTGTAGGAGCCTCTCTCTCTCTCTCTCTCGGCTCCCTTCCTCCTTATTATTCCTTCTACTATCCCTGGTTCCCTTATCCTCCTCCTCCTTCTACTTATTCTTCCTCATTTGGCTCCCTTCTTCCTCTTCCTCATCCCCCATTCCTACCTACTCCTCCTTCTCCCCTTACTCCTTCTTCCACCTCCTCTTCCACTATCTCCTCCCCCTCTTCTCCTCCTCCTCTTCCTACCTCGTGTGGGTGTGTCAGCTCCAGTCCTCAGGTTGATGGCCACAAAAGTGAAGGTTTAGCACCAAGAACTTGTGAGGGCGGATTTATGTGGATTTTTATTCTCTTGGTGTGGATTTAAGTGGATTTTTTCCCTTTAGTGTGATTTTTTTTCGTTTCATGTGGATTTTTATTATTTTGGTGTGGACTTTTTTATTTTTTAATGTGTTAGTGTGGATTTAAGTGGATTTTACCCCCTTTATGTGGATTATATTGTTCTAGTGTGGATTTAAGTGGATTTTTATTCTCTGTGGATTTGTAATCTCTTGATGTGGATTGTTGTTCCTTTGTCAATGTGGATTTATCCTTTGGTGAATGTGGATATTTGTGGATCTTTTATTCTTGCTATAATTGGTTCCTTCTATAACTATATTTCTATTTCTATAATTACCAGGTGAGTGTTTTTACCTGTGTGGTTCAATAAAGTAATTAACTGAGGGACAGGTGTAATTATGTACTTGATTGCTGGTCGCTATTGTAGGGTTGATTTGTGTAGCGGGCTCTCTCTCTCTCTCTCTCTCTCTCTCTCTCTCTCTCTCTCTCTCTCTCTCTCTCTCTCTCTCTCTCTCTCTCTCTCCTGTCTGTTATGTCTCCCGGCTGTCTCGTCTGACTCTCTCTTGTCTCTCTCACAATCTATCCTGTCTCACGCTGGGAGATTGAAGTTTACCATGATGGACAGGTGAGGGAGGCTGGGTAAACATGTTGTGTACCTGTCTTGAGGGAGAGAGGGGGGGAGAGAAAGAAGGAGAGTGAGGGGAGAAGGGTGGAGGTAGAGCGAGGGGGAGAAAGAAAGGGGAAGAGAAGGAGAGACAGAAAGAAGATGGAGAGAGAGAGAGAGAAGAACAAACAAGATGAAGTAATAATTCTACCATTACTTTCTACACGTTTAAGCCATCATACACTTAGAGTACATACTTACACACTTGAGTACACAGGGGGGGGACAGTACACAGGTAAGGCCACTTGAGTACCATACACCTGTACAGTCTCAGCGCTGATAACCTCTCATCTTGGCTGCTGTTAAGTGTTCACTGTAATAGGTAGACCTTTATTAACTTACCTGTGTTGACTCTGTGCTTTACTGACAAAGGAGGGCACACACACACACCATCCCCCACCCTTCCCTCCCTCCCTACCTCCTACCCTCCCTCCCTCTCTTCCTCCCTCCCTACCTCCTACCCTCCCCTCTCCCTCCCTCCCCTCCCTCCCTCCCTCCCTCCCTCCTCCCTCCCTCCTCCCTCCCTCCCTCCCTCCCTCCCTCCCTCCCTCTCTCCCTCCCTCTCCCTCCCTCCCTCCCTGCGTGAACGTCAACAACTATGGTCTTTATGTTGTCTTTACTGAGGTTTAATAACTAAGACCTTAAACCACGTAAAGGATAATACAAGGTTTATTATTATTAATGTTGTTTTAACTTAGACAACAATCAGGTCTCCGCTCACATCTTGATTTAGTGTGTGTGTCAGTCTGTGTTTAGATATGAGTGTGTTTTATAAGTGTGTGTGTGTGTGTGTGTGTTTCCGTATATATAAGTGTGTATACATGTGTAAGTGCTTAAGTGTTTATACAGTATACATGTTTGTATAAGTGTGTTTGTGTGTTTATATAAGCACTTCTCTCGAGTTGTGAACGGGGATATAAAAGACTCAGAAATTACCACAACTTCTCGGAAATAGCAATAAATCAGGAGATAAGGGAAGAGAGAGTAAGGAGGGTGTATGTAGAGGGAGAGAGAATAAAGAAGAGACGGAAGAAAGAGAATTAATTACCAACACAAAGGAACAGAGAAGGAATTACGGCAACAATAAGAGAAAAATAAAGAAACAATTAAATTAATATCTGAAGATGATGAACACGTAGGAGGAATAAGAGAAAAAATGTGATAATTCGTGTGCATAAGACGGAAGGGATAACAGAGGTGAAGGGTTGTAAGTGATCTGTATCCGTGATGTGTTAAAGGATGCATTTAACTGGGGGGTTAACAGGAGGAGGAGGAGGTGGTAGTAGTAGGGGAAGAGGTGGGGGGTGGGGAAAGGTATTGTGTAGTTGTATATATAATATATCTAACTGTTATGGTGAAACTTTTATATTATAATTTATCGTTTAAGTAACAGCTGAGGCACGGTGGTGAGAGAGTGGTAGGGAGATAGAGGAAGAGAGGAAGGAGGGATTATGTCACCCCCGCCCCCCTCAGATGTAGTATAAAAGTGTAGATATAACGTGTGTGTGTGTGTGTGTGTGTGTGTGTTAAGCTGCCAGTCATGTTTACATTACGTGTCATAGACGAAGATCATTGTTTATTCCCTCAGCTGATTGTCTTGTTTACATCAAATGTTTTTAATTATCCACCTGTTTACCTCTCACACTTGACGCCCAGTAAACACACCGAATACTTAACATTTTTGTCTACATAATTGCGTAAGCTTACCTGAAAACAATTACTGCTGTGCTTTACAACATTACTCTGTTTACCTCCTGTTTACCCTCGACTTGTACGACAAACTATTTTACAACAGGAAAAAGGGAAAGAAAAATTATTGGTTTATTTTAAAGAAAACGTCTGGTATTTTGTTTTGATTGAGAATTTTGTTTTTGTCTTTTGTTTTAGTCAGCCATATAGGATTCGTTTAAAACCCAACTCAGTGATTCACAATAATTTAAGAGATCATTTGAGCTGATACAAACCCCTGCCCAGGAACAGTTACCATGGCGGGATGAAGGTCGACCTAGTGATGCTGTTATTGTGTTGACAGATAGATAAACAGACAGACAAACACAGACAGATAGACAGACAGACAAACACAGACAGATAGACAGGCAGACAAACACAGATAGACAGACAGACAGATAGACACACAGACAGACGGAAACCTCGCTACCTGACACACTTGACCTGGAAAACTTTCATCAACTAAAGTCGGTGTAAATATCGGCTGAAGTTTCCCTGACACACACACACACACACACACACACACACACACACACACACACACACACACACACATCAAAAGACATATAGCACTGTATCGTTTAACTACCCGCCTCCCTACTGACAGCACAACCCGTCCATAGTTAAGTGAGTTACCTGGAGCTGTACACAAGTGGATGTGGACTCTCTCTCTCTCTCTCTCTCTCTCTCTCTCTCTCTCTCTCTCTCTCTCTCTCTCTCTCTCTCTCTCTCTCGTTAATTTATCCTGCCAGCTCTCCAACATGTTAAGAGTCTAGATTAACATCCTTCTAACTTCCTCCCATGTTAACTTATTCTGCCAATTCGCTGCTGGCAAGTCCTCTCTCCACTCACTAACATGTTAACTGTTTAGACTAATTCCCTCTACCAGTCACTAACTTGTTAACTCTGTGTATTAACCCTCCCCCACCCTCCCTGTCTAGTTGGGTTATAATTGTTAACTTCTCGACTTCCGGTTGGTTACTAAAAGCTTCGGAATTTAATTTGTGTTTCAACATTTCCCTGAGTTTAGCGTCGAGTGAGCCGGGATGATAAATGTGTGTGTGTGTGTGTGTGTGTGTGTGTGTGCAGCACTTACCTGGACGTGGTGAGACGGATGACAACAGACCACATAGCAACAGCAGCACTGACACAGCTTCTTGAGTCATCATCCTGTTGTGTGTTGATATCTCGCTGTTCTGCTGTTTTTCTTATTTCACTTCTGTTGTTTTGCTGCTCTGTTTTTTTGTTATGCTGTTTTTGTTGGACTTTTCCTTTTTGCGTGTTGTGCTCTTCAGTTTTATTGTGTCTGTTTTTGTTGCACTTTTGTTGCTCTTCTGTTTTATTGGTGTTTTTTTTTCTTGCACTTTTGCTGTTTTTGCAGTATTTATTTTGTATTTTTTTGCACTTTTACTCTTGTTTTTGTTTAACTTTTTGCTGTCATGTATTTTTGCTGTTCACTCCGACTCGCTACTTGTTCTTGCTGTTCACTCCGACTCGCTACTTGTTCTTGCTGTTTGAACGTATTTTTGAGTGTTTTTATTTTTTTGTTTCAACTTGACATTTACAGGTAATAAATGTTCTGTCCTGTCTTGTTTTTGTGTGATTGTTTACATTGTTTATTTGTTTATATTGTTAACTTTTGTTTATTTCTTCACATATTGTTTGATGTTGTTTATGTATTTATTAACGTGTTTGTTTACATCTGTGTTCACTTGTTTGTTTTTGTTTACTTGTTTATTTACTATTTCTTACTATGTGTGTGTTATACAGTGTTGTTTATTTTGTTATCTCATTATTGTTCACATTGTTCACTCGTTATTGATCACATTGTTCACTCGTTATTGTTCACAGTGTTATCTCATTATTGTTCACATTGTTCACTCGTTATTGATCACATTGTTCACTCGTTATTGTTCACAGTGTTATCTCATTGTTCATTGTTTATCATTATTGTTCACATTGTTCACTCGTTATTGATCACATTGTTCACTCGTTATTGTTTACTTTGTCATTATTATTGTTCATATTGGTCTCGGTATTGTTCATATTATTCTCACCGTTGTTCACTCGTTATTGTTCACGTACTGTGCTATTTACGGTACTGTCTTACTGTACACATCGACACTTTCTGTACACATATTTTGTTTACATATGTATTGTATTCTCTCTTCATTCTCTTTTATTTCTCTTCTTTTTCTCTAGTTCTCTCACTTCTCCGTATTTCTCTTGATTCTCTCACTTCTCTCTATTTCTCTCACTTCTCTCTATTTCTCTCCTCTCTACTTCTCTTCATCTCTCAGTTATCTCCATTTCTCTCTCATCTTTATAATGGTGTACTGTACTGCATGATTTAGTACAATTACAGGAGCTTGAGTACATGTTCATTAGCTTTAGTACATGTTCATTAGCTTAAGTACATGTTCATTAGCTTTAGTACATGTTCATTAGCTTTAGTACTTGTTCATTAGCTGAGTACTTGTTCATTCACTTGGGTTTTCGGTTAAGTCTAGAATATTTGGTTTTATTTTAGCTGTTGGTTTAGTGTTTTAGCTGTGGATGGTTTATTTTAGCTGTTGGTGTAGTGTTTTAGCTCTGGTTGGTTTATTTTAGCTGTTGGTGTAGTGTTTTAGCTGTGGTTGGTTTAAGCTGTTGGTTTATATTATGTCTTGTTCTCTCACTAACACACTGCTGGTTTTCTCTCAGTGTCTTGTTCTCTCACCACCTCCTCGTTGTTCTCCTCACACCTGGGGGGAGAGAAGAAACAATGTATTTTAATTATTTGTATGTCATGTAATCTCACCTGAATATATTAACTCAGGTCTATTGAGACTTGACCTGACCTGTCCTGACCTGTCCTCCTGACCCGATTTAATTTATCTTAACCTAACAACGTAACCCATCCTAACTTAACCTAACCCCGCGTGGCCCCTCATTTCGCCAACACCACCCACAATAGGCTTCCTCCTCCTCCTCGTCTACATACAGAGGTAGTTAAGGAGGCGCCACAATCAGCCAGGCGTCGGTGTTCGTTCTGTTTATTGGCTGAGGAATAGTCAAGAAGCTGCTCGCTGATTGGTCGGGACTCTAGATCCTCCTTGTTGATTGGTGGAGATCCTCTTCGTTGATTGGTCAAGGTGCTTCGTGCTGATTGTCATGTCGCTGCTCATTTGTTGAAGATGCTTCTCGCTGATTGGGTTAACATGTTTGAACATTAATTGCTCAAAATACGTGATCACTGATTGGTCAAGGCGTTGCTCACTGATGAAGGATTCTGTCCGTTGATTGGTTAAAGCGCAAGACATGACTTTCGTTACGTTAGCCATTCATGAAGACGTACAGACAAGCACGCAGGCAGGCACAGATAGAAAGACAGGCAAGCAGAGAGACAGACAGGCAAGCAGACAGACAGAGAGACAATATGGGTCACGGGGGTAAAAAGTGAGTGTTGAACTTTGTGTTGGTGAGGGAGGTAGGGAGGGGAGGGGGGGGAGTTGTGGAAGGGACGAGGGTTGAGTGAAGGGGTGGGTGTGGAAGGGAAGGGAGAGAAGGGGTGGGATGAGGAGGGGAGAGAATAGGTTAGGTTAGGTTGGGTGAGGCGCCTCCAGCTGTGCCCAGTATTAAATTTCGGCAAGAAAATATATTGTTGTCTGGTTGAAAATACTTGAACGTTTGGCAGAGGAATTCCCGGTAGTACATAATTATTTACCTTCCCGGGGAGAGTTTGGTCTCTTGTTTATGTCCGTGTTCGGGGAGAGTGGTGGCTCAGGGAGTGAGAGAGGCGGGATCAGAGTGTGAGAGAAGAGAGAGAGAGAGAGGTAGAGAGTAGGAGCTTAGTGAGTGAGAGAGAATTAGAGACAAAGAAGTTCATAGATGGAGAGGAGAGAGGCTTAAAAGAGTGAGAAACAGACACAGACACTCAAGAACAGTATGGTGTTAACATGAAGCTATATAACATTATATATATACACGACACCACCGCTCAGGTAACACCGTCTGGCCGTCTTGTCTCAATAATTTTTGGGGGGTTACCTGAACATCCTCCGCTATTTCATCTTAATATTAACCATCCTAATGCCAACTTAACCTAACGTACCCTAACTTAACCTACCCAAACGCTATCCTAACCTAGCTTATCCTAACCTAATCTAACTTACCCTAATCTAACCTAATTTATCCTAACCTAACCTAATATATTTTACCCTACCCTACCACACCCTAACCTAACCTAACCCTGAATTTATTTATATAGATATAAGTTTCTCTAATGTTATATATAAGTATATTTGGACTAATTAATTTATAAATACATTTATTTAATTATACATACAGTATGTACATTGGGTTTGTAATTAATTTACCTATACATATTTCCCTGATTAAAAACTAATTGCCCGAAAGGTCAAATTGATCCCCACAAATTACTGTTGTTTTCTCGGGTGATTAAACTTTCCAAACACTGACATCATTAACAAAAATAAAGTTTAATTACCTCATTTGGCAACCTGTGATTGCTACCTGTCCCACTAATGATCACTAATCACGAACAATACAACAGGTATGTGCAGTGGTAATGTACGTACACACGCACATGTATACACGGATATATACACATACGTACACATTAATACCCTCCTTCTACAGCCTCCAATACTGTATCCAAAACACATACACTCTCTCTCTCTCTCTCTCTCTCTCTCTCTCTCTCTCTCTCTCTCTCTGTGTGTGTGTGTGAGGAACAGGTGTTGGTACTCTAGTCTTTCCCTGAGTTTTCCCTCGTCTCGTTAATTTTCCCCAACTGACAATTACCTGTTCTTTCCCCATCTCACCTGTACTTCCCCCAATTCACCTATACTTTACCCAATTCACCTGTACTTTCCCCATCTCACCTGTACTTTCCCCATCTCACCTGTACTTTCCCCAACTCGGCCACATGTATTTTCCCCCAGCTCTGAGACACACACATCAACACACTAACTTTCACCAAGAGAAAGTGGCCGCTACATTTTGTTGGCTTTCACACCGTTGGACACTTGAGGCTTATCTGCAGAAAGTTGGTCAGTGTAGCTGTGGCTTCCTCACACACACACACACACACACACACACACACTATTTTTTGTCGTGTCGTTCTGGGAGGGGACGTGTGGTTGCATATATGTCCGTCCACGCGTCTGTCCATCAGTGTATTATTATTGGTAGTAAAAGTAGTAGCAGTATTAGTAGTAGTAAAAGTATTATTATTAGTAGTTGTAGTAGTAGCAGTAGTAGTTGTTGTTATTGTTATCATGACAGTGTTTACCGTCTCCTACACTACACAGTTCTCTCCTCTCACAACTTTCCTCACCATAAGTTTACTGAGTTTCGTTTCTTCCTCACCAGAGTGTCTTAAAACTCTCTCAAAGTTTACCTCCCAAAGTATTTTTATTTTTCCTTTGATAAACTTTGACCCCGGGTATTTTTTTTGTCTTTTACAAACTTCATTCATTTGCCGTTAAATTATCCTGATATTTCGTTAGATTCTCATATTTTACGTTAAAATTTTCTAATCTCACGTTAAATTCCCCCATCTCACGTTAAACTCTGTACTCAGAATTATAACATATTAATTTGTGTGGTAACTGGTGGTTAAGTGAACGTATTTCTCTAAGTTGATTATTACCCTGTAGTGGTTCTGGCGACTAAGGCTAGCACTGAGTTCATGAGGACACGGGTTCGACACACACACACACACACTCTCTCTCTATCTATCTATCAACCACCCCTCTATCTATCTTTCAATCTCTCTCTCTCTCTCTCTCTCTCTCTCTCTCTCTCTCTCTCTCTCACCTGCAAGATTCATAAGGTAAAGTGGCAGGTGAGAATTATGAAGAACCTCTCAGTATAAATAGATAGGGGGAGAAAGTGCCTGCTGGAGCCATCATGAGGGGCGCCACGAAGCAGGGGATATATGTGAAGATGCATGGAAGAGATAGAAATATTAAGACAAACCAAACGAGGAAGAGTAGAAGAAGAAAGAAACAAAACAGATAACATGATTAAGACGTGTAAAGGAATGGCAGGAATAAATGGAGGAATTAGTAAATGCGACACATACAAGATTGATGGACAGAGCAACTGAGAAATACAGAGGGAAGAGGCGGGAAGGAAGAGGGGCCAGAGAAAGGGCCAATAAACGTGGAGAAGAGGAGAATAACGGTGTGTGTGTGTGTGTAAGCTCAATTAATTTATTCCACGACCTTTATAAAGTACGAAGTTAATCTTGTTATTTTCTTTTCTTTTATTCCGCGTACAGTGTTTAGCATAATGTGGATTTGATGGCTTCATGTGAGAGAGAGAGAGAGAGAGAGAGAGAGAGAGAGAGAGAGAGGCTAGTCCACTGTGGTAACGTTATCGATATTCTCACTGCTTTTGACAGCCCCATTGTGAGGGACTATACTGCTGGTGCTGCTGGCCCTGTGTCTTGTTCACGTGTTGACAGTCTGGTGTTGTTCACGTGTTGACAGTCTGGTGTTGTTCACGTGTTGACAGTCTGGTGTTGCTCACGTGTGGTTCAGGTGTTGTTTACTTCTTGTTCAGGTGTTTCTGCACCCCCCTCCCCCTCCCGCTGTCATCTGGTGGTGTTATTCAGATCCTGACGGCCAGGTAATATACAGGTGTTGTCAGAAGTAATTGTATCTACACCAGTTTCTCTTTGCTAGGTGTGTCTGTCTGTTTGTGTCTTAGATCGATATAAACTGCACGATGGGCATCACACACACACACACACACACACACACACACACACACTTATTAAATATATAACTTCAAAATATCAACAAAAACATCACACAACAAGTCAAAAGATAAACACAAACAAACACATTAGAGTGGTAAACAGAGGAGCGGATAACAACAAACAAACAGAGAAGTAATCAGTGCTAAAAACATAATCGGTTTACAGTCTGCTAAATTAATTCATTTGTGATCCATGACAATCAGTCAATTACTATAGCCGCGTTATCTGTCAACATAATCACGTGAGTCAACACTAATGGCCAATGTTAATGTGTGCGTGTGTCAGCTGTGGTGTATGTTGGCTACCACTACTACTACTACTACTACTACTACTACTACTACTACTACTACTAATCACTGTGGGGTGGACTCGTGGCTTCCTATGGTTTAAGATACATAGTTGTTTAACACATAGGATTAGTACATAACTCTAGGACACACAGCTTTAGATCACGTAAGTCAAGGATACGTGGCTCCAGGACACATGAATATTATAGGATACGTGGATGAGGACTCCTACAAGGGGATGAAGGAGAGCACTTTAATTACCTGAGCTCTTAATTAAATCACCATCAAAGGATCTCAGAGCAGACATCAGTGTGGTCACCGGCACAAAATGGCCAATATTACAATGTGTTCACTGACGACATGATGGAGGGGGGAGTGGGTGGTGAGTGGGAGGGTGGGTGGTGAGTGGGAGGGGGGAGTGGGTGGTGAGTGGGAGGGTGGGTGGTGAGTGGGAGGGTGGGGTGGTGAGTGGGAGGGTGGGTGGTGAGTGGGAGGGTGGGGTGGTGAGTGGGAGGGTGGGTGGTGAGTGGAGGGAGAGAGGGTACAGATGAAGGGGGGTGAGAGTGAGTGAGAGAGACAAAGGTGTAGCAAGAGGTGAAGTGAGATAGAGCGAGAGGGGAGAGAGTGAGAGACAGATGTTCGGTAATACATAATGAGAAAAGATAGAGCAATTAACTGGTGTGTG